ATAAACCAACAAAACCAGAGGAAGGGAAAGCGGTCACACTGCCACCTGCAGACGGCGCCGGGGATGCACCCGAGAGATGGGCTGCAGAGGCAGCACTCCCAGCAGTCCAGGTAGGAAAGTGCTGTTGCTGGGAAACCGGAGGAGGAGGGAGGAGGGGCAGTTGCGGCTGGAGGTCGAGCTGCTGCTGGAGATGCTGGAGCTGCTGCTGGAGCTGAGAGAGGAGAAGCTGCTGCCCATACTGCTGTGACCCCTGCTGCTGATTCCCAAGCAACTGCTGCTGCTGTTGCTGCTGCTGGTGCTGCTGCTGGGGAGGGGCGAGGGCCTGGTGAGCGTGGGTGGAGGAGGGAGGTTCATAGAGGGGAGAGGAACGGACCTCAAGGGGAGTGGGGCGAGGGTTGAGGGCGGACCAGCGAGGAGGGGTGCCGGTGTTGCCACGGGCAAACCACTCATCACTGAGTGCCTTGAAGCACGTCTCAGTGGCATGGGTAGTTTGGCCGCAGCGCTGTCCCTGAGTGGGACCGTAGCGAGGCAGATACTGACAGGGAGGAAAGGCAGCTGCCGTACCACGACCCGCACCACTGCTGCCAGCACCACCGCGACCTACTAATCCCCCTCGTCCACCCCCACGCGCACCACCACGCCCACCCCCACGCCCACCGCCACGGCCACCCCGGCTGCTGCGCGACTGGGCTGCTGCGGCTGTGGAGGAAGAGTGGCGAAGGATCTCAGCTTCGGTGGTGATAATCCACTGAGAGACTTCGGCAGGGGTGTGGTGCTTGGAGATAAGCTGCATGTAAGCAAGCTTGTGAGCGTCGAAGGCAGGTGTGAGGCCCTCGAGGAGGTGGCAGCAGATGACGGTGTCCGGGTACACCACATCGAGTGCTGCAAGGCGCCGAGAAAGGTCTAAGACACGGCGAGTGAAAGCAGCTGCGCCAGAAGTGGAATCCATGGAGAGAGTTCCAAACTCCTGGATAAGGGCGTAAAGAGTGGCAACGTCCTGCCGATCGAAAAGGTCGACCAGCAGTCGCCACAGGTGGGAGGAGGAGGTAGGTGAGAGCTCGCGTTTGAGGGAGGAGGGGATGGTGGCGAGAAGAATGGCAAGCGCACGTCGATCAGCAACCCGCCAGGCAGTAATTTTCGTGGTGTAGTCTGCAAGTTCTGCAGTGTAGGTGTCCAGGTCCTCCTGGTACTTGTTGTAGCGGGCAGCGGCGTCGTCATAGATGCGCCTGTCATCCTCGTAACGCAGTTGCAGGCGCAGGTGCTCTTGGAGATTGGTGCGGTAGGTGCGAATGGCGGTTTCCGAGCTCTGCGGGTCGTTCACATTCGGCGCAAAGGCGGGAGGATCACCGGGGGGAGAGGGCTCGGCGCCAGGGTGGGCAGGGGCAGGTCCAGTAGGAGCGGTGGGGGCCGCGGGCTGAAGTCCACCGCCTTCCTGAAAGACAACCGAGCGAAGGTTGTAGCCGCTGACCACAACAGAGGAGAGGAGCACCTCGACGGAATGAGCATAAGAGTGCCAATTAGCAGCGGAGTTGTCAGGCAGCAACTCGAGTGCATCAACAGTGGCAAGGTCGACGGAAGAATCGGACGACGATGCCATAGAGATGAGGGTGGGTCGAGGCTAGGGCAGGAGGAGGATGGTGTGAGGGTACCGTTGCCAGTGCTGCTGCTAGCCCTGCTGCCCGTGCCGCTGCTGGTTCTGCAGCTGGTGCCGCTGCGGATGCTGCTGCGGGTAGGATGGGAGGAGGAGGAAGGGAGGAGCGGAGGGTGAGGAAGGTGGAGGAGGAGGAGGGCGATGCTATGGGGGAGGCAAGGGGGAAGGGTGCTGCTGGTGGTGCCGCTGCTGGTGCTGCTGCTGGTAGGATGGGAGGAGGAAGGGAGGAGCGGAGGGTGGGTTGGGTGGAGGAGAAGGAGGGCGATGCTATGGGGGAGGGGCAGATCTGGGCGCGCGGAGGGCAGATCTGGGCGCGCGGAGGGCAGATCTGGGCGCGCGGAGGGCAGATCTGGGCGCGCGGAGGCCAGATCTGGGCGCGCGGAGGGCTGATCTGGGCGCGCGGAGGGCAGATCTGGGCGCGTGGAGGGCGGATCTGGGCGGGCGGAGTGCAGATCTGGGTGCGGGAGGAGGAGATCTGGTGGCGCGGAATCCAGATCTGGGCGCGGAATGATCAGATCTAGGCGCGGGAGGAGTAGATCTGGTCGCTGGAGGTGCAGATCTGGGCGCTGGAGGTGCAGATCTGGGCGCTGGAGTTGCAGATCTGGGCGCTGGAGGTGCAGATCTGGGCGTTGGAGGTGCAGATCTGGGCGCTGGAGGTGCAGATCTGGGCGCTGGAGGAGGAGATCTGGTGGCGCGGAATCCAGATCTGGGCGCGGAATGATCAGATCTAGGCGCGGGAGGAGTAGATCTGGTCGCTGGAGGTGCAGATCTGGGCGCTGGAGGTGCAGATCTGGGCGCTGGAGTTGCAGATCTGGGCGCTGGAGGTGCAGATCTGGGCGTTGGAGGTGCAGATCTGGGCGCTGGAGGTGCAGATCTGGGCGCTGGAGGAGGAGATCTGGTGGCGCGGAATCCAGATCTGGGCGCGGAATGATCAGATCTAGGCGCGGGAGGAGTAGATCTGGTCGCTGGAGGTGCAGATCTGGGCGCTGGAGGTGCAGATCTGGGCGCTGGAGTTGCAGATCTGGGCGCTGGAGGTGCAGATCTGGGCGCTGGAGGTGCAGATCTGGGCGCTGGAGTTGCAGATCTGGGCGTTGGAGTTGCAGATCTGGGCGTGCCTTGGAGGGCAGCGCCTTAGGGGGCGCACGGGGAGGGAGGACAGCGCCTAAAGGGCGCGTGAAGGGAGGGCAGCTCCGTGGGTGGGGCTAGATCTGAGGAACGGGGAGGAGAGGGTGGCCTAAGGACCGAGGGAGGAAGGCGTGAGCCATTAGCTCATGATACCATGTTGCAAGTGAGAGAATTGATGCATTGAATAATGAGCCAAGAGGCTCTTTAGTACAAACAATGAGCAAGAGAGAGATGAGAGGGAAGCTTACTCTATTGGCCAATAAGTTGGCCAATGGGTGAGCTTGCTTGTGACCCAAGCAACCACAAATGTGTGTTGGTTGGGATTGGTTGAGCTAAGGACCAATCCCAACCAACCACAAAATGTGGTTGGAGGGTACACTAAGCAACCCCCCAATTGATAAAATGTGCTACACTTCTAGCCTATGTATGTTGTATAAAATATGAAATTACCAACAGGCGGACCTGGAACATTCGAGGGATGAGGATGGCAACACCCACTGCTGTCTTGTCATGGAAACGGTCCTGGAGGTACTTCCAAATCGCATGAGCGGAGCGAAAGGTGCGGTAGGATTTGACGAGCTCAACCGGAGTGGTGGTGATGAAAACCCTAATAACTGCTGCATCTGCCTGCTCCCACACACTGAAATCAGTCTCGTACTTGGTGATCTGAGCGTCAAAAGCGGCCTTCTCTCCGGCAGTGGCGCCTTCGCCAAGGGGATCGGGAGGGAGAGGCATCTTTCCCTTGCCGCGGTTGAGGAGGATGTCCTTGAAGCAAATCCCCTTCAGTTCCGTGCTAAGGAGGTGCTTCTCCACCCCATAGCACCATTCCCCAAAGTTGGTGCTCGTGCCGTTGGGAGCGAGGTTGAGAACGATGAGGTTTCCGACTAAGGTAGAAGTTGAAGTCGCCATTCGCGCGGAGCGCAGCGCTAAAGTCAACGATACGAAGCGGAGCCTGCTTCGCCGATGACCCCTTTTCAGCTGCGCCGATGACCTGTTCCGCTGCGCCGCTGACCTGTGCTGCTACGCCGCTGAACCTGCTCTGCTGCGCCGCTGAACCTGCTCTGCTGCGCCGCTGACCTGCTCTGCTGCGCCGCTGAACCTGCTCTGCTGCGCCGCTGAACCTGCTCTGCTGCGCCGCTGACCTGCTCTGCTGCGCCGCTGAACCTGCTCTGCTGCGCCGCTGAACCTGCTCTGCTGCGCCGCTGAACCTGCTCTGTTGCGCCGCTGAACCTGCTCTGCTGCGCCGCTGAACCTGCTCTGCTGCGCCGCTGAACCTGCTCTGCTGCGCCGCTGGACCTGCTCTGCTGCACCGATGAAAACCTGCTGGAAGTTTCAAATGTGAGAAAATTGCTACGGAAATTTGAAATTTCAGAGCTTACGGTGAAGGAAATTGACGGAGAAATGTGCCGCCGTTGAAATCGGAAATGCACGTAGACGGAGCGGGAAAGCGCTTTTGACCAGTGCGACGACGTGAAGACAAAAAACGCTAAGCGAAGAAGGCGTGAACCGAGAATGCCATAGCCGAGAGGAAGAGAATGATCGCGACGCCAAGGATCGGATTTCGCGTGAGCAGAATTTGCTAGCTCTGATACCATGATAATAATGGAGCTCAACTAATTGATTAGGAAAGAAGGCACTAGGCCTTAAGTACAAACGAGGTTGGGATGGGCAAGGCTAGGGAAAGGATGGGATGGGAATCCTAGCAAATCTCCAATTGGTGAGTTGGCAGATTTGCAGGATTACGAGGGAATCCCAACCAGATAGGGTTGGGATCACAAACTACACCCAACCCGCAAATAACCTACGCGATATAGAATATAGTACACAAAGTGTTGACAGCCAAATTCTAACAAACATACCATGGTGTGCATGCAACATACCATGGTGTGCTTGCAACATACCATGGTGTGCATGCAACATACCATGGTGTGCATGCAACATACCATGGTGTGCATGCGACATACCATGGTGTGCATGCAACATACCATGGTGTGCATGCAACATACCATGGTGTGCATGCAACGTACCATGGTGTGCATGCAACATACCATGGTGTGCATGCAACATTCCATGGTGTGCATGCAACATACCATGGTGTGCATGCAACGTACCATGGTGTGCATGCAACGTACCATGGTGTGCATGCAACGTACCATGGTGTGCATGCAACGTACCATGGTGTGCATGTGACACGAGGCGAGAAAGAAACCATGCGGGCACCGCTTCACTGAGATAAGGCCGCCCTTTCCCCCTTTCCCCCCTGTTGCCCCTCCCCCACCAGGTAGCCACCACTGCAACCATCTACTGCCGCTGCCCCACCCTTGCCCTGCCTGCTCCCCTGCAGCCTGCCACGAGTTCGGCACCGAAGACAAGACCCGAGCCTGCATCAGAGGCTGGAGCTTCTTCACCATTTCGGCTCGGTAGGCTGCGGCAAGGGGAGGTTCTGAAGGAAAAGGTTAGCAATATCTACACACACAAACAAATATACATATATATATATATATACATACATAGACGATATATAATATGTACATCCAGAAAAGACGAATACAGCTCCAGATAATCCTGCTTCCGCTCCCCCTACTGTCCACAATACAGATAACGCCATAGATGTTGAATGCAGAAATATGAATCACAGGAGGTAGGGAAGGAGTGGTGTACACAAGGCAGATGAGCAGGCTAGGCATCCAAGCTTGAAGCTTCTTCTGGACAAGAAAGAAGCATCGAAAGAATCTGATTTCAAACCCACCCTCACAATCTCATCGTTCCTGGCGACACTCCCGCTCGCTCGCACAAGCACTCAACTGTGGGACTTCCAATGCAGTTGCCTGTCTGGGGCAATCCGTCAGTGCCAAGCCAAGCGACAATCGTCCCCGTGCTGGGAGGAGTTGAGGCAAGTTTGAGGCGCGCGCGTGGCAAGCCTGCTTGTTCAATTCAAGCACAAGCACTCACTCACTGTGGAATTTCCGAAGCAGTTGTCCGGGCCAATCCCTCAGTGACAACCGGCAATCGTCCCAGTGCTGGGTTGGGAGTTGAAGGGCCTACGAGGCACCTGAAAGGTCTGCTTGTTCAATCCAAGGCACCTGAAAGGTCTGCTTGTTCAATCCAAGGCACCTGAAATGTCTGCTTGTTCAATCCAAGGCACCTGAAAGGTCTGCTTGTTCAATCCAAGGCACCTGAAATGTCTGCTTGTTCAATCCAAGGGTTTGGGGTTCAGCAAACCACTTACTGTGGAATTTCCGAAGAAGCTGTCCGGGGCAATCCACCAATGCCAACCGGCACTCGTCCCAGTGCTGGGATTTGAAGGACGCTGGGATGGCAAACGAATAGTTCATCTGAAAATCAGGTGATATGTATGTAAGGGTTGGGTTACGAGGGGTTGGGAGAGGTTGACAGGGTTGTAAAGGAGGGGTTGGAATTTGAAGGACGCTGGGACGGCGAAAGAATAGTTCATCTGATAAGCAAGCGAAATGAAAATCCCCGTAAGGGTCGGGAAAGGAGGGGTTGGGAGGGGTTGACAGGGTTGTGAAGGAGGGGTTGGGCAGGGTTGAAAATCAAGGGGGGTTTGGCAGGGTTAGGAAAAGGGTGGTTGGTGATCTCTTTGTGACAGCCGACAAAACATAGCGCCTTGTCCTTTGAGCCGCAGGATATATACACTCTCTTGGCTCGGCACAGCCGGGTGATATTGAGGTCATTGTTGAGAACTCTCGAAAAGTGACCCTAATACAGAGCAACAAATGGCCTGAGCATATTTCATCAAGCAACACACGGAGCAGAGAGCCTTTCAAGGTGAAGGCTCGTTATCAATGATGAGGGGGGCTACTTGTAAGAGCGAGGGAGGGAAGGGAGGGAGGGAAGGGAGGGAGGGAGGGAGGGAGGGAGGGAGGGAGGGAGGGAGGGAGGGAGGGAGGGAGGGAGGGAGGGAGGGAGGGAGGGAGGGAGGGAGGGAAGAAGGGAGGGAAGGGAGGGAGGGAGGGAGGGAGGGAGGGAGGGAGGGAGGGAGGGAAGGGAGGGAAGGGAGGGAGGGAGGGAGGGAGGGAGGGAGGGAGGGAGGGAGGGAGGGAGGGAGAGAGGGAGGGAGAAAGGATGTTGCCGATAAAGAGGGGGTCTGCTGCAATAGAAAGGGCTACTCAAAAGGAGAGGATAAGCACTTGGGGCAGCGGGGGGCTTTAATGTCTAGTCAAGAGGAGCTACCTGCCAGGAGTCATAGAGAGTACTGCAGATCAAGAGAGGGGCCAAAAAGCAGCGGGGCGCTATAAAAGTGTCTCAAGAAGAAAGGCTACTTGGAATGAGCGGGGACGTTTGAGCGGGAAAGTTTGAGCGGGGACGTTTGAGCAGGCACAAACCTGCCAGGAGACTTGTGAGAATTCTCAAAATTCACACCAACAAAGCAGGGACGAACCTGCTTGGAGTCGTAGGGGGTACTGCCGATGAAGAGAGGGGCGTGCACGTGAAGGTGAAAACCTGAAGCACTAGAGGACTACTGAAGCACCTGAAGCACCTGAAGCACCTGAAGCACCTGAAGCACCTGAAGAACCTGAAGCACCTGAGAGTCAAGTGAAGAGGAATAAGCGGGGATGAACAAACCTGCCAGGAGTCATAGAGGGTGTTGCCGATGAAGAGAGGGGTGTGCAGCAGCGGGAGGAAATACTCGGGAAAGAAACACTGCAGTGATGCGGGGGCGGGGAGAAGGGGGTGGGGGAGAGAGAGGGACTTTTGCGACAGCTCAAGAATAATGCAAGAAGAAGCACTGCTGAGAGAGCAGAAAGAAATGATGGGAAGTGAGGTATGAGGGGAGGAGAGGAATGAGGAGAAGAGAGGGCAAGGAGGTGAAAGAGGGAGAGGAGGGGCCAGCTGCAAAGACAGTAACTGGAAGAAAACACAGGACAGCGAACAGCAGCTGGAAGAAAATACAGGAACAACTCCGGGTTGTTTTGAATCTGGGCGACTTATGAGTAGACTCAAAAGTCAGCTGGAAGAAAGGAGAGGAACCGCAGCAGCTGGAACAACTCCGAGCTGTTTTGAATCTGGGTGATGCGCTTGAGAGTGCATAGGGTGCGTGAGTGAGCGAGCATGCTTTGTTGGTCATGAGGTGATTTTTAAGGCGCCTAAGGAAATACCTCAGAGCGAGCATGCGTTACTGTTCATGCGGAAGAGAAGAAAAGATGAGACGAAACGAGAAGCGAAGAAAATTGGAGAGGAGCGAGGAGTAGAGTGGAGGCGAAAAGAGAGGAGAAGAGAGAAGAGAGGAGTAAAGAAGTGATGAGATGAGGAGAGAGGAAAACGGAGGAGAAGAGAGGAGAAGAGAAGAGAGGAGAATGGAGGAGAAGAGAGGAGAGGGGAGGAGAAGGGAGGAGAGGGGAGGAGAAGTGAGGAGAGGGGAGGAGAAGAGAGGAGAGGCGAGGAGAAGAGAGAAGAGGGGAGGAGAAGAGAGGAGAGGGGAGGAGAAGAGAGAAGAGGGGAGGAGAGGGGAGGAGAGGCGAGGAGAAGTGAGAGGAGAGGGGAGGAAAAGAGAGGAGAGGGGAGGAGAACAGAGGAGAGGGGAGGAAAAGAGAGGAGAGGGGAGGAGAGGAGACAAAAGAGAGGGGCAGGCAGCTTGCCTTCCATCGCTCCGCTGTGCGATTTGTGAGTCGATCAAAACAACCCTCGTGCACCGACACGTTCTGAGAGGGAGAGGAAAAATGTGGTGCAGGGAATAAGGTGAAGTGAAGTGAAGACACGTGATCAAGAATCGATTACGAGATGTCTCACAAGCAGATCAGATCAGATCAGATCCAGACAGCCCTTGTGCACCGACTCGTTCTGAGAGGTGGGCAGAATGCAACACCAGAATAAGGTGAGAGGAGAGAGGGTGCAATGCGTTACAGGGAATCAGGTGAAGACAGGTAGTCCTGAGATGCTTCACGAGCAGATCCAGACAGACAGACAGCCCTCGTGCGCCGACGCGTTCTGAGTCTGAGAAAAGGAAATAAGGCCCGGGCCCGGGGAATGAGGTGAGAGGTTATGAGGCGTGGTGACTTTTGAGTCGACTCAAAAGTCACGCGTTCTGAGTCTGAGAGAAGGAAATAAGGCCCGGGGAACGAGGTGAGAGGTTATGAGGCGTGTCCACACTTGACTGTGAACACCTAGGGCATGGACTGGCGATTTCTGATCTGAAAGCACGTGACATACATTTCAGCCCCCCCCAGGCATTTCAAAATTCATGATATGATCTGAAAGCACGTGAAATGCATTTCAGCCCCAGGCATTTCAAAATTTATGATATGATCTGAAAGCACATGAAATGCATTTCAGCCCCCCCCAGGCATTTCAAAATTCATGATATGATCTGAAAGCACATGAAATGCATTTCAGCCCCAGGCATTTCAAAATTTATGATATGATCTGAAAGCACGTGAAATACATTTCAGCCCCAGGCATTTCAAAATTTATGATATGATCTGAAAGCACGTGAAATGCATTTCAGCCCCCCCCAGGCATTTCAGAATTTATCATCTGATCTGGAGGCACCACGCGACAGGAGAGAGGGTTAGGAGACAGGAAAAGGACAAAAGCAAAGGTGGTCATGGAGATTCTGTGACCTGTGGCTCGTTGAGCCAAATTCTGTGACCTGTGACTCGGTGACCTGTGACTCGTCAACTTACTTACGGCAAGCGCAGCATCAGTTGCGTCCCCCGCACAATCTGTCTGCATGTCCTGCAACATCAGCAGCAGCAGTCCCGGAAATACCTGCAGTCTGTCTGTCTGATGACGGACAGGACGATCAAGAAGAGCTTCCTCATCTCGTGCTGCTGCCTGCTGCCCTCACGACAATGCGCACCCAAATCTGTTGCCCCACCCCCACCCATCCTGGCTGGAACACAGACTACAGCTGCCCAGTAGACTGTACACCGTACCTGTAAGTAGTCTGACGACGGCTGAGAAGAGCTTCCTCGTCTCGTGCTGCCGGGATGGCAGCCCAAGCTCAAATCTGTAGCCCCACCCCCACCCATCCTGGCTGGAACACAGACTACAGCTGCCCTGTATGTAGGCTGTACACCCTAGTGACCCTACCCACCTACCTACCTACCTGTAGCCTGACGACGGCTGAGAAGCGCTTCCTCATCTCGTGCTGCCCTCCCACGTCCTTGGTGTCCAGAAACACACCCCCGTCGCCCATGCACTTCACCACCGGGGGTGGCGGGGAGGAGGAGGATGGGGAGGATGCAGAAGCAGCAGCAGCAGCAGTAGCAGGAGCACCAGCAGTACCACCAGTAGCGCCATCAGCAGCAGGAGCAGAAGCAGAGAGGGAGGAGTTTGGTTGTTGAGACACCTCCAGCATTGTTCTGGCGAACCAATCACAGTGCAGGAAGGCTGCCAGCGCACCGGCTGAGCCTCCCCCGAATAGGACGTGCGATGCCGCCCGCAGGTTGTGGTGCTGCAGGAGATGGCTCACAATGGCCGGCATGATGTGCTTGCCTCGGAAGAAGATGAACGTGTTGGTCCCCTGTGGCAGTGGCACATGCGATGTGGAGAAGCATGGGAGGGAGAGTGAGAAACGACTTTTAACGCTGTCAAGAATCGAATCAGCAGAGCAAGTGGCTCACGCATGATCACGACGGCCCGCATGGTGTGCTTGCCTTGCCTTGCCTTGCCTCGGAAGAAGATGAACGTGGTGGTGCCCTGTGGCACATTCACAGGGCCATTGGAGGGAAGGTGGGAGATGAGATTTAATGCCCAGAAAGCAAGAATCAGGCAGAGGGTTGCTGATGCACGACAGCCCACATGATGTGCTTGCCTTGCCTCGGAAGACGATGAACGTGCTGGTGCCCTGTGGCACATTCACGGAAGAGAACAAAACATGGGATTGGAGAAAAGAGGGTGGGGAGGAATTACTTCTGAGAACTCTTGAGACGTAGCACCAATCTGCCTCGGAAGATGATCAACGTGTTGATCCCCTGTGGCATATACACTATAACAACTGTTTTCTCCTTTGCTACACTTTCTCCTAAACTGCTGCTCGCTGGGACATGTCTACCGATCTGCTAGCACCACCAATATGCCTCGGAAGAAGATGAACGTGTTGGTCCCCTGTGGCACATGGAAGGAACGATAGGAGAAAGGAGGGTGGAATTAGGGCTTGTTTTTGAGACGTACGATAGGAGAAAGGAGGGTGGAATTAGGGCTTGTTTTTGAGACGTACGATAGGAGAAAGGAGGGTGGAATAAGGGCTTGCCTTGAGAGTGTAGTGTGATGAGAAAGAGATGGTGACACAAACCTCCCTCTCTGTCTTCAACATTGCCGTGCACACTCACTCCTCTGCCCCACACGCACGCATGCACGCACCCCCACACACATGCACGCACCCCCGCACACATGCACGCACCCCCGCACACATGCACGCACACACACACACATGCACGCACCCCCGCACACATGCACGCACACACGCACACATGCGCGCATACACACAAAAGACATGTACTCACATACACCCACCAACCTCCTCTAGACACACACCCACACACACACACACACGCACACACACACACACACACGCACACACACACACGCACACACACACACACACACCCACACACACGCACACACACACACACACACGCACACACACACACACACCTCAACCGCACCGCACCCACGCTCTTCCCCCACGTAATCACCCGCACCCCACCCACCTCACACAACCCATTACCCTTCCCCCCCATCCCCACACACAGCGCATCCACCCGCCTGTACTGTAATGCAGTAGCTCTTGTTCCCAGAGGACGAAGTGAAGCGGCTTTTAAGTCGACAAGAAAAATCACCTCCTCTCCCGTCCCTACACACTCGCACGCACCGGTACTTTGATGCGGTAGCTCTTGTTGCCAGAGAACGAAGCGCCGTCGCAGTAGCGCACCACCACACGGTTCCAACTGAAGAACTCTATAAAGGGGACAACCGACCGTGCAAGAAAATTGGGAAAGCGAAGCAGGAGAACAGGAAAAGGGTGAAAATGGAATGGAGAGCTTGTGTGGTGACGGGGCTGTGGGTGAATAACGGAGGTATTCTTGAAGGGGATGTGTCTATTGTGTGGGGGAGGGAGAGTGGGGAAGGCAAGGTTGAAGGAAACAGAATAAAATCCAGGAGGACAATTTTCTTGGTGTCCCGACCTCCTACCTGTGCTTGTGACCTGCTTGTATGTACTGGTTCACGCATTTAGCTGGTTGATCCTACGTTCAGAAGACTTTCTAGGATTGATCCTATATTGAGGATACTCGCCAGGGTTGAAAGCAGAGCCCCGAAACAAACCGCCGATGAACAAATACGGCCGCATTTGATTGAACGAGCCGAACTTGGTGAGCGAGTGTAGAAAAATCTTAGGATCACTGATGCAACTCTACAGTAAAGAGACTATCACCAGTACTGTTCCTGCGAGCGATAGCTGTTGAGTCGAATCAAACGCCACTCACTCACCAGGGTTGATCGCAGGGTTGGGAGAGAGAATGCCAATGAACGAGTATGGCTGCATGTGATTGGACGATCCTAGCTTGGTGAGCGATCGGTTGTAGCAATCGTTGACTGAATCACACCAGGCGCCACCCTGCCATGTGCGTGAGGGGCAGGGAAGGGAGGAAGAGATGGAAAGAGAATGACAGAGATGGGGAGGGCGGGATAGAGGAAGGGAGGGAACTGGAAAGCGGAATGGGACAGAGCGAGCACTATGTGAAGTTTGGGCCTATCCAATCCAAACCTCCTTGAAAAACATTGAAACAATCAGTGCGTCTGGCAAAAGGTTCCTCCGTACCTCGAGAAAGATGACCCACTTGTCAGCTCCCTCGCCTGACCCTGCCTGAAAGTGGAATCCGGGCGGTGTGCCGTCCAGACACACTGTATATGGCCAGTGACAGAGGAGAGGAGACAGAGATTCGCAATGAGAAGGTGACTGGACAAGGCAAGGAGAACGACAATTTGAGAGAGAGAGAGAGAGAGAGAGAGAGAGAGAGAGAGAGAGAGAGAGAGAGAGAGAGAGAGAGAGAGAGAGAGAGAGAGAGAGAGGGGATCCCTTAGCCCTCTGCCCTCTGCCTCTTCCCTCCGCCCTCTGCCCTCCAGAGCTATTTAAGGGCTGTTTGGGTCTCTTTCTCCTCATTATTTCGTGTGGAGTTCGTTTTCGGCGGCTCGCGCCGGCGGCCTTCGGCCGCCGCCGATCGCCTGCGCAGCCTTCGGCCACGCGCTCCTGGTGGCAAGGAACAAAGGCAGAGGATTGCCTACCCTTCTCTCCAAGACGGCAAGAGCCACTCCAACAGGCCTATAAAACACGAGGACAGGGTGACTCGTGCATGCGAACTCACGCTTCCACCTTTACAACAGTGGCACACACACAACGGTAGCCAAGTTACCGTTGGCTACACTGTAGACATCCCGATTAAGTGTAACAAACGCGTCCATTTTCCTATCCATTTCCACGCATACTGGAATCATTTTTGTATTTCCTCAAAAGCATACCCGCTAAGCCTCCGAATGTGTCGTTGACGATCGTCACAGGGATCTTTATCCCCGTTATAGGCACTGCCTTATATCGAATCAAATCAACAAACGGCTCGCTCCCGGCGAGGTTGTTGCGCGTGATGGAGGAGACGAGCATCCAGATGAACGGGAACGCGACGGCGAGACTGATCTGGCGGCTGAACGGTCTTAATCGCGACGCGGCTAATCGCAGGGCGGGAGACACCGCACCCATGTTTGCGAAGATGGAGTGATCGGACGGCTAGACGGTCGTAATTGCAAAACTCGAGTGATCGGATGGCTGGTAGTAATATTTAAGCTTGACTCGGCTCTTGAAGGCGGTGGAGAACAATAAGTTACAGCTCCATGGAAGCTTCACAGTAGCTTCGTCAGAAGAAGCATGAAACTAGTCGCTGGCCACTGCGAGTCTGTTCCACACTGGATTCGACTATGCCGCGAAACGACATAACATGTTTGTATCCAACGGCATTTGACAATCTCGCCGCGGATCGTGGCATTCACCAGTGGTGTGCCGGTGTTCTCCTGCATCGCGTGATCAACATCGTTCCGCTATTTACAAAATCGCATCAAAAATCAGGCCCGAGCTTCACCATTGGGGCTTTACACTTGCGTTAGACCGTAGCACGTAGCATGACAGTCTGGCGCCGTTCGATAGCTTCACAGTCCAGGGGTAACCACAGCCCTATCACAGTATTGCGTGGTTCGGTAAAGGCTCGACAGCAGCACACCTGGGCTTTAAACCCCACGAGAGGTTAGGCATATCCGAACCAGAACCTGAAGTACGTTCGGCCCACCTACGAATCTGGTGCGGTAATTTTCGCTGCGGACCGCGGTAAAAACACTGTTGCCTGCTGGTCAAGCAACAGTACTTCACGGGCAAAAAAGGCTTGGTTTCCACTAGCTGCAACAACGACAGCCACCCCAATGCCACTTTGAAGGTGTAAAGAGTTCGGGCAGGGCTCTGGGTAGATTGAACTTCGCCCCCTTCTGCCCCAACCTGAATCGAGGGTATTGGTTCTACCAAGAACACTCCCCTTTTCAACCGAACTCATCTCTCCGCTGTTAGCTCACTCGATCCTCATTCCTTCGAATGAGCACAGCAATGAGCGCTTCCTAGGGTAGCGGTGCTGTGGAACGTATTTGGACCCGCCTCAAAAGTCGCGTATATTACCCACTGCGGGATCACAACTTACGTACATCGACCACTCATTTACGACCTCGTCGAGGCGCGCGACACGGTGTACCTCAGCAGAAACGAGACGCCACATCATCCTGGATGTGCTTGGTTCAGGAGGATGGCGGGGAGTTTCCGATTCAACCCCTTTGGTTTTTTTTTTCTATCTCTCACAGCTCGGAGTTGGACGGAGGGGTAAGCAGCTGTGGCCTCCAGGAGTCTTGGGGAAGAGATTGCAGCCGGTACTAGTGCCCCTGTTGTCATGTAGTGCATTTAATGCACAATTTTGTAGCTCGTTGTTTTACTTGTGGTGAACGCGGTTTTGACTGTGTGGGATTTGTTTGTTTACACAGCTGTCAAATCTGAACAGTGGTGAAGCAAGATTGTGTTGCCAGCAAGTTGAATATGTCGTGAAGTGACCCTAGGTTCGGAAACCCTAGGGGCGACTCGGACACACTGTGATGTGGCTGTACAAAAAATTACATTGCAATCGAACGGCGCCTCTAGTGACGAAAACGTGCAGGCCAGACTGTGCTGCTCAACTCAATGGAGTTACTCTGTAGTGAGTGACTCCATCCAATGGCTTGGTTTTCAGGTGCTTTGAGTCCCTCCCTCCTGAACCATTTCGTGCCCTGTCGGTGATCAGTCACAGTCACTTTCTGTGGTTGACATTAAGGTTCTGTGCAATTTAAAGCGGTTCAGAATGCTTCACCGATTTGAACCGCGACACACCACCCGCCTGGACATTTCATTGGTGCGCACTGCGTGAGTGGTGATTGGTTCTGTCTGGCCTGAGGGGTGTTCTGACGATGGCACTATCGAGGTGGGTTGATCTTTGGAGGCTCGGTGTCATGCGCGAAAAACTTCAACGACGCTGGTAATTTTCGTGCATGCACGCGAGTGGCCAGTGTCTAGGTATTCAGCCGTCGCGAAATTCCGCCAGCGGTGTCACGATTGATTGCAGCCCTCCAGTTTAGCGCAGGTAACTTTGCCCAAGTGCTTGACAGCCAAATGTGCTTTCCAGCTATCTACAAATAACCGATTTTTACTATCCGATCATGTCTATTATCGCGTACGATTGGAAGCCTGGCTGGATCATGGCAACCTCGGGATAGGAGGATCCATGAAAGCAGCCTTCACTCTCGTCCCTTTTCACTTCACGTACTTGCTCCACCAGCCGACCTCTGCTGTTGACCCTTCAGTAACCGCGCAGTAACTTCCTAGCAGTTCTGCTCCCAAACAGCCTCGTCAGTCCAGTGTGCGAACCGTTTCCGTCAAGCCAGTTCCCGCTGCCGGGTCGATTCAAGTCAGCTCATTGCGTTTTCTCATCCGTCATAAGAGCGTCGCCGTATCGAAAGCTGTAGCGGGATGTTGTGAAGGTGCTCATAATGATCATGGACTGATACCGATGGTGTGGTCGTACAGTTCTGAGTTTATCCCGTTATCATGGAACCGGCCGCATCTGCTGCTGCAGCGTCTGCTCCAGTAAGCTACCCTCCCCCGTAACCCGCATGCATCGTACATGCATTTCATCAGAAGCGTATCACGCATCGCACATGGGTATCATGCATCACATCGCACATGGGTCCCATGCATCATATCGCACATGGGTACCATGCATCACATCGCACATGGGTATCCGTGCCTCGTCCACCCTCTTTGCAGCGTCGGTACCTGCTGACGGTAGTGTATATCGGGAGTGCTTAAAGCGGGTGGCAGAGGCAGCCCTTGGAGATCTATATTGACCTTTTGAAACTCTCTCCTCCTCCATCCCCTCTGCAGCGTCGGTATCTGCTAACAGTGGAGTTTATCGGGAGTGCTTTTAGCGGGTATGAGACAGCCCTTGGGGAATTGACCTCTCAAAACTCTCTCCTCCATCCCCTCTGCAGCGTCGATATCTGCTAACAGTGGAGTATATCGGGAGTGCTTTTAGCGGGTGGCAGAAGCAGCCCCTGGGGAACAACCCGCTGCCGTCAGTACAAGGGGCTCTTGAGGTGAGGGGGAGGGGGTTGAGCGTGTGCGAGCGTGAGTGGAGCGTGTGTGAGCGTGAGTGAAGCGTGTGTGAGCGTGAGTGGAGCGTGTGTATAGCATCTGTAATGTCGTGTGAGGATCTCGTGTGAGGCGCAAACAAAAGATCGTGGTGATTGTTCCATTCCAGGGATGCATGCGATGCGTGAATGCGATGCATGCACGCTCACTGGAACCATCTACGTGGATGGACGATGTTGTGATGTGACTTCATAACGCATTTTATTCCCATTGGCATTCTCTAGGTGTTTTTTTTTCTTAATCGAGTCGTTAGGCGTTCCCCATGCCTCCGCATGATTGATAGTACCATTCACTCGCTCCACTACGTCTCGTCTCTCTCCTGCCGCACAGGAGGCAGGGATGCTGGTTGCTTTCGAGAATTTTGGAATGCAATTCACTCGCTCCACTACCTCCCTGATTCTTTCCCGCCTTGCAGGATGCAATAGGGAAGCTGGTGGGGTCTGTCCCCACAGGGAACCACAAGAGGCAGCGAGGCAAAGGCAACAAGAGACCACAGGCTGAAGCACACGGGCGCGCAGGCAAGGAGGATGGCGGTCCCAATGCACGAGCAGACGCAAAAGCTGATGCGAAAGCTGGTGCAGGTGCAATGGCAGATGCTGCTGATGCGAGTCGGCTTGGAGCATCCGGGGCATCGGAAGGTTGTCATGTTGCGGAGGCAGCAGCAGCAGCATCCCGAGCTGGTGGGGACACCTTGGAGTCTTTGCCGCCGCCACTCCCTCTGCCTCAAGTTGTCGGCTCCAGCAGAACAGTTACGCCCTCTGCTTCTATCCATCCTCGTTAGAAGGATAACTTTTGAGTCGACTCAAAAGTCATCTCGCTGCCACTCCCTCTGCCTCAAATTGTCGGCTCCGGCAGAACAGTTACGCCCTTGGCTCATGCTTTTCTTGGGCTGCCCAGAAGTTGTCGCCGTTGACTTGGCTCGAGTGCCCGATGTGTGCGGATGCATGTGCTGCTGTGGAGTGGACCGTGGACCAATCACGATGTACCTATCCTGCTTCCGCTGATGTGCTCTGACCGTGAACCCTTTTGTGCTGCATTGCTTCGGATCGGACTGCTTGTGCTGTTGTGGACCAATCAGGATGCAGGAGTGCACGCACTGGGCAACACTTGCCACGTGGACATTCAGCGAGTGAGCCGCCGCTATCCAGGCAAGCAGGTTCGTGTGTGAGTGAGGGGCACGGCACGGGGGACACAGGGAAGACATGGAGGGGGGAAAAGGGGGGAGGGGGGGGGGGGGGTGGGGGGATTGGGGGGAGGGAGGGGAATTGGGGAATTGGGAATCGGGGGGAGGGAGGGGAATTGGGAATCGGGGGGAGGGAGGGGAATTGGGAATCGGGGGGAGGGAGGGGAATTGGGAATCGGGGGGAGGGAGGGGAATTGGGAATCGGGGGGGAGGGAGGGGAATTGGGAATCAGGGGGAGGGAGGGGAATTGGGAATCGGGGGGAGGGAGGGGAATCGGGGGGAGGGAGGGGAATCGGAGGGAGGGGAATTGGGAATCGGGGGGAGGGAGGGGAATTGGGAATCGGGGGGAGGGAGGGGAATTGGGAATCGGGGGGAGGGAGGGGAATTGGGGAATTGGGAATCGGGGGGAGGGAGGGGAATTGGGAATCGGGGGGACGGAGGGGAATTGGGAATCGGGGGGAGGGAGGGGAATCGGGGGGAGGGAGGGGAATTGGGAATCAGGGGGAGGGAGGGGAATTGGGGAATTGGGAATCGGGGGGACGGAGGGGAATTGGGAATCAGGGGGAGGGAGGGGAATTGGGAATCGGGGGGAGGGAGGGGAATTGGGGAAAAGGGAATCGGGGGGAGGGAGGGGAATTGGGAATCGGGGGGAGGGAGGGGAATTGGGAATCGGGGGGAGGGAGGGGAATTGGGGAATTGGGAATCGGGGGGAGGGAGGGGAATTGGGAATCGGGGGGAGGGAGGGGAATTGGGAATCGGGGGGAGGGAGGGGAATTGGGAATCGGGGGGAGGGAGGGGAATCGGGAATCGGGGGGAGGGAGGGGAATTGGGAATCGGGGGGAGGGAGGGGAATTGGGAATCGGGGGGAGGGAGGAGAATTGGGAATCGGGGGGAGGGAGGGGAATCGGGGGGAGGGAGGGGAATCGGGGGGAGGGAGGGGAATTGGGAATCGCGGGGAGGGAGGGGAATCGGGGGGAGGGAGGGGAATTGGGAATAGGGGGGAGGGAGGGGAATTGGGGAATTGGGAATCGGGGGGAGGGAGGGGAATTGGGAATCGGGGGGAGGGAGGGGAATTGGGAATCGGGGGGAGGGAGGGGAATTGGGGAAAAGGGAATCGGGGGGAGGGAGGGGAATTGGGAATCGGGGGGAGGGAGGGGAATTGGGAATCGGGGGGAGGGAGGGGAATTGGGGAATTGGGAATCGGGGGGAGGGAGGGGAATTGGGAATCGGGGGGAGGGAGGGGAATTGGGAATCGGGGGGAGGGAGGGGAATTGGGAATCGGGGGGAGGGAGGGGAATCGGGAATCGGGGGGAGGGAGGGGAATTGGGAATCGGGGGGAGGGAGGGGAATTGGGAATCGGGGGGAGGGAGGAGAATTGGGAATCGGGGGGAGGGAGGGGAATCGGGGGGAGGGAGGGGAATTGGGAATCGCGGGGAGGGAGGGGAATCGGGGGGAGGGAGGGGAATTGGGAATCGGGGGGAGGGAGGGGAATTGGGGAATTGGGAATCGGGGGGAGGGAGGGGAATTGGGGAATTGGGAATCGGGGGGAGGGAGGGGAATTGGGAATCGGGGGGAGGGAGGGGAATTGGGAATCGGGGGGAGGGAGGGCAATTGGGAATCGGGGGGAGGGAGGGGAATTGGGAATCGGGGGGAGGGAGGGGAATTGGGAATCGGGGGAGGGAGGGGAATTGGGGAATTGGGAATCGGGGGGAGGGAGGGGAATTGGGAATCGGGGGGAGGGAGGGGAATTGGGAATCGGGGGGAGGGAGGGGAATTGGGAATCGGGGGGGAGGGAGGGGAATTGGGAATCGGGGGGAGGGAGGGGAATTGGGAATCGGGGGGAGGGAGGGGAATCGGGGGGAGGGAGGGGAATTGGGAATAGGGGGGAGGGAGGGGAATTGGGGAATTGGGGGGAGGGAGGGGAATTGGGAATCGGGGGGAGGGAGGGGAATTGGGAATGGGGGGGAGGGAGGGGAATCGGGGGAGGGAGGGGAATCGGGAATCGGGGGGAGGGAGGGGAATCGGGAATCGGTGGGAGGGAGGGGAATTGGGAATCGGGGGGAGGGAGGGGAATGGGGAATCGGGGGGAGGGAGGGGAATGGGGAATCGGGGGGAGGGAGGGGAATGGGGAATCGTGGGGAGGAAGGGGAATTGGGAATCGGGGGGAGGGAGGGGAATTGGGAATCGGGGGGAGGGAGGGGAATTGGGAATCGGGGGGAGGGAGGGGAATCGGGAATCGGGGGGAGGGAGGGGAATCGGGAATCGGGGGGAGGGAGGGGAATTGGGAATCGGGGGGAGGGAGGGGAATCGGGAATCGGGGGGAGGGAGGGGAATTGGGAATCGGGGGGAGGGAGGGGAATCGGGAATCGGGGGGAGGGAGGGGAATTGGGAATCGGGGGGAGGGAGGGGAATCGGGGGGAGGGAGGGGAATCGGGAATCGGGGGGAGGTAGGGGAATTGGGAATCGGGGGGAGGGAGGGGAATTGGGGAATCGGGAATCGGGGGGAGGGAGGGGAATTGGGGAATCGGGAATCGGGGGGAGGGAGGGGAATCGGGAATCGGGGGGAGGGAGGGGAATTGGGAATCGGGGGGAGGGAGGGGAATTGGGGAATTGGGAATCGGGAATCGGGGGGAGGGAGGGGAATTTGGGGGAGGGAGGGGAATTGGGGGGAGGGAGGGGAATTGGGGAATGGGGAATCGGGGGGAGGGAGGGGAATGGGGAATCCGGGGGAGGGAGGGGAATTGGGGAATTGGGGAATTGGGAATCGGGGGGAGGGAGGGGAATTGGGGAATCGGGAATCAGGGGGAGGGAGGGGAATCGGGAATCGGGGGGAGGGAGGGGAATTGGGGAATCGGGAATCGGGGGGAGGGAGGGGAATTGGGGAATCGGGAATCGGGGGGAGGGAGGGGAATGGGGAATCGGGGGGAGGGAGGGGAATCGGGGGGAGGGAGGGGAATCGGGAATCGGGGGGAGGGAGGGGAATCGGGGGGAGGGAGGGGAATCGGGGAATCGGGAATCGGGGGGAGGGAGGGGAATCGGGGGGAGGGAGGGGAATTGGGAATCGGGGGGAGGGAGGGGAATTGGGAATCGGGGGGAGGAGGGGAATCGGGGGGAGGGAGGGGAATGGGGAGTCGGGGGGAGGGAGGGGAATCGGGGGGAGGGAGGGGAATCGGGGGGAGGGAGGGGAATTGGGAATCGGGGGGAGGGAGGGGAATCGGGGGGAGGGAGGGGAATGGGGAATCGGGGGGAGGGGTACTTTCTGAACTCCCTGTCCTCTCTCAAGGGCCTTTTAATTGTGCAAGATTTTGCTCACTACACATGCTACTTGGTCTCGTTGTACGCTCATTTAGATGTGCAAACGGCGCAAGGTTCTATCTACCCTCCACACCTTGTGCTCCTGCTGCTCTTGCAATGCAATCCCGGTGTCTGCTCTCATCCGCCAGGTGCCACCCTTCTTACCCAAGGAGCTAACACGGGCAATCAACCATTTCCTGCAGGTACCACCGTAGTTTTGAGGCGCCTCAAATCAACCGTTTCCTGCAGGTACCACCATACCACAACTGATTACCTACCAACCTCTCATGTGTGATACTGGTCCTCAACAATTTCATCTCAACCATGCAGAAAATGCAGATACATCATACAAACCTACCAACCATGCACAGCATTGGATGTCTTTCTTTGTTTGTTTGTTTTTCTTGAGAGGCGACAGTCGACCCTTTTCTCTCTTGCTCATCCACAGGACGTTGATGTTTTGTTTTGTTTTGTGTGTTTGTTTTTTTGTTTGTGTTTTGTCTGAGCAATTCTTCCCCGCTCATGCAGCTGTCAGCAGCAGAGGCATCAGTGGTGGCAGCAAGGGAGGTGCCTCGCTCCTTCCACGCCAGATTCCGGGCCACCCAGCGAACGTGCGTGCGTTGCGTTGCGTTGCGTTGCGTTGCGTTGCGTCGCTTAGCGTTGCGTTGCGTTGCGTTGCGTTGCATTGCGTTGCGTTGCGTTGCGTTGCGTCGCTTAGGGGGTCATGTGGTGGGCGGGAGGGGAAAGGTGGGCTGGTGGGAGGGGAGGGGAGAGGGGGAGAGTAATAGGACCTTCTAACCAGGTAGCACCTGCCGTTCCTCTTGCTCTGCTTTTTCCTCTGCGTTCCTCTCTGCCTTTTGCTCCGCTTTTTTTCTGGCACCCGTGCCCTTTGTTCCTTCTGCCCCACTTCTTCTCATCGCCCTTCTTCTCCTCTCCCTCACTCCTTCCCTCCTCCTCACTCTGTCCCACTTCCCCCCTCCCCCCTCTTTTCCTCCCTCCTCCCTCCGGTGCCACGCCATCCGCCGTTCCATCCTTCCCCCTCCTTCACCCTCCTCCAATTCTCCTCCTCTCTTTGCTCCCCCTTCTCCCTCCTCCCTCCCCCTTAGCTACCTGTACTGTACTGCATACACGCATCAACGTCCACGCATCCCTCCATCTTCGATCGCAACCGCGTGTAGCACATGCCAGCGCAGCTCACCTTGACTTACATGCCATGCACCATGTGCCTTATCTCTCCCTCCCTCCATCCAGCTACCTATACCGCATACACGCGTCTCCGTCCGCCCATCCCTCCATATTCGATCGCAACCGCGTGTGGCACGTGCCGGCCCATCTGGACGTGCATGCCATGCGCGCTGCAGCGGCAACTCTCTGCGGCTTCCACGACTTCTCCTCCTTCAGGGCCTCAGGCTGCCAGGTGCGCTTGTGCTGTGAGATGCCATGCGCACTCGCTGCAACCCAGTACATCCATGTGCCACGTGCCGGCCCACCTGGACGTGCCGGCCCATCTGGACGTGCCTGCCCACCTGGACGTGCCGGCCCACCTGGACGTGCCGGCCCACCTGGACGTGCCGGCCCATCTGGACGTGCCTGCCGGCCCATCTGGACGTGCCTGCCTGCCCACCTGGACGTGCATGCCATGCGCGCTGCAGCGGCGGCTCTCTGTAAGTGGGTTCCACGACTTCACCTCCTGCAGAGCCTCAGGCTGCCTGCCAGGTGCGCTTGTGGGTGCAGCAGCAGTGAGCCAGATTTTCTGCCACATGCACACAGCAGTAGCCAAGCCAGCAGCAGCTGTAGTTTTATGTGGCTCGCCTCGTCTGTTTTCCTCCTCCTCCTCCACTCCGCTTCTCTCCCCCGTGCTCCTCCACTCCGCTTCTCTCCCCCGTGCTCCTCCACTCCGCTTCTCTCCCCCGTGCTCCTCCACTCCGCTTCTCTCCCCCGTGCTCCTCCACTCCGCTTCTCTCCCCCGTGCTCCTCCACTCCGCTTCTCTCCCCCGTGCTCCTCCACTCCGCTTCTCTCCCCCGTGCTCCTCCACTCCGCTTCTCTCCCCCGTGCTCCTCCACTCCGCTTCTCTCCCCCGTGCTCCTCCACTCCGCTTCTCTCCCCCGTGCTCCTCCACTCCGCTTCTCTCCCCCGTGCTCCTCCCCTTCTGGCACGCCCTCCCCTTCTGGCACGCCCTCCCCTTCTGGCACGCCCTCCCCTGATCGTCCCTCTTCCTCCCACCCACGTCTGCATGCATTTCCCTTCTCTCTCCCGATCCACACCATACCTCCCTCCCACCAGGCGCGCTCTCCTCTCCACTCGTTCACAGAGCTCTCGGTCTTTGAGGTTCCCTGCTGGCCCGCCTGCCTGCTTGCCCAAACCCCACTCCCCATTCCCACCCAAATCCCCACCACTCCCCACTCCCCATCACTCCTCCCACCAGGCGCGCTCCCCTCTGCGCTCTCTCCATCTTTGAGGTTCCCTGCTGACCCACCTGCTTGCCCGTGCCCGCCTCCTCCCACACCCCACTTCCCCCCACTCTTCCCCACACCACTCCCTCCCTCTTTCCTTCTCCCCCCAGGCGCGCTCCCCTCTGCGCTCTCTAAGTGAGCTCTCCATCTTTGAGGTGCCCTCCTGGTCCGCCAGCCTGCCCGCTCTGACTCTCCCCCACTACCCCATCCCCACCACTCCACACCACTCTCCACCAATCCTTTTCGCTTTTCTCCACCAGGCGCGCTCCCCTCTCCGCTCTCTAAGTGAGCTCTCCGTATTTGAGGTGCCCTCCTGGTCCGCCTGCCTGCCCGCCTCCTCCCACCCCTCCTGCACCACGTGGCAAGGGCCTGAAGGGCCAAAAGGGGAGGCAGAGGGACGTGAAGTATCCACCTGGCACGGCCCTGAGAGGGCGAAAGCAGGCACAGAGGGAGGCGAAGGGGAGGCGGTAGCGGTTGTGTGTGGAGAGAAACGAGGGAGGGAAGAGGAGGGAGTGTGTGCAGAGGGGAGGGCAGAGGGGGCGAGTGGCAAGAGGCTGCGTGGGGAAGAGAGAGGGGAGGAGTCGCGGGGAGAAGAGGAGGATGGGGTGGAGAAAGAGGAAGGGGGTGGAGGAGAGAAAAGAGCGGAAACGAAAGGGGAGAGTGAGAAAGAGGAGACAAGGAGAGTGAGGGAGGGGACAAGGGAGGAGGGGGAAGGGAAGGAAGGGGAGGGAGGGGAAGGAGGGGAGGAAGGGAAGGAAAGGGAGGAAAAGGGGGACAGTGTGGAAAGTGGCGAAGGGGTGCAGATGCTGGTGGTGCGGGCGAGGGCCCCCTCGTTCCTGTACCACCAGGTGCGGCTGCTGGTGGGACTGCTCAAGGCCGTTGGTGCAGGGGCCGTGCAGCCTGATACAGGTGAGGGAAGGGGGGGGAAGAGAAAGGGTTAGATTGTGTTTTCTTTAATCGGTTTCATCAGGTGCGGCTGCTGGTGGGGCTGCTCAAGGCCTGGCCGTGGGAACAGGGGCCGTGGAGCCTGGCGCAGGTGAGGGCAGAGGGGGAAGTGGGAGGGGGGAAAGCGGGAGGGGGGGCGATCACATTGCTTTACGGGTCTGTACCATCAGGTGCGGCTGCTGGTGGGGCTGCTCAAGGCCGTTGGTGCAGGGGCAGTTTACCCCGAGACAGGTGAAAAGAGAGAGGTAAGATAGTGGTTTGAGAGAACCTGTACCTTCAGGTGCGGCTGCTGGTGGGGCTGCTCAAGGCCGTGGGAGCAGGAGCAGTGCATATCGACAGAGGTGGGAAAGGGGGTTTGGGGGGGGGGGGGGGGGGGGGGGGGAAGGGGGGAGAGTGGGAGGGGGGGATATGTCATTGGTTTCCAGGTCTGTACCACCAGGTGCGACTGCTGGTGGGGCTGGTCAAGGCCGTGGGAGCAGGGGCGGTGCACCCCAACACAGGTGAGGGAGAGGAGGGGAGAACAGGGATGTGGGGAGACGTGAAGGTGGGGGGAGAGAAGGGAATAAGAAACTGTGTCGTTAGTTCGATCAGGTGTCTGTGGTGCCACCAGGTTCGATCGAGACGCATTCTCAGATGTGTTTAACTCTTGTCCCATGTGCTTTGAAGCGGCGCGAAGGCTTTTATCACACGAATCTAGCCTTGTCTTTATCACGAAGTGTGGTACCCTCGCTCTGTTTCCTCGCTCTGTTGCCTTGTCTTTCTCTGTTTCCCCTCTCCCCTTCTTCCCGTCATCCTTCCCTCCACCTCCCCTCCCGGAAGTCAAATCAATCCCGGAGGCAAGGGACATCCAGGGAGTGCCGCCCATGGTTTTGAGAGCGCCCTCTTTTTACATCAAATCACCATGTCCTCTTCCCTCCCCTTCCTTGCTTTCCCCTCCACCTCCCCTCCCGGAAGTCGACTCCACTCACATCACAATGTTCCTGCCCTCCCCGCCTTCCGTCTGCCTCGCCTCCCCTCCCCTGAGGCATACTCGATAACCTTAAACCTTAAATCCCGGCAGTCAAGACAATCCTGGAGACGAGGGACATTCGGGGAGTGCTGCCCATGGGGCTGCCTGCTGCTACTTCTTCAGTTGACTCCAAGTTCACTCCACCATGTCCCCTCCCCTCCACCTCTCCTCCCCTCCCGCCCGGCAGTCAAGTCAATCCTGGAAGCGAGGGACATCCAGGGAGTGCCGCCCATGGCGCCGGCCTGTGGCCTATACCTTGCCACTGTTGCCTACGGCCCCCATAGGCCCAAACGAGCCTCCTCACAGCAATGACATGCCGCTAGGGGCCAAAGCGAGCCTCTCATGGGAATGATATGATATGCCTCCCATGGGGCCTGCGTGCAGCCTCTACCTTGCCAGTGCTCTGCCTACGGCCCGCAGACGCCCAAACGAGCCTCCTCACAGCAATGACATGCCGCTAGGGACCAAAGCGAGCCTGGGAATGATATGCCTCCCATGGCACTGCGTGAAGCCTCTACCTTGCCAGTGCTGTCTATGGCCCACAGACGCCCAAACGAGCTGCTTCACAGCAATGAACTGCCCCTGGGGACCGAAAAGGGTTTTCTTACAGGAATGGAGTGCCTCCCATGGCGCTGCATGCGGCCTATACCTTGCCAGCGTTGCCTACGGCCCGCGTAGGCCGAAGCGCCCTTCCTCGCAGCAATGAAATGCCTTCAGGGGGCAAAGCATGCGTACAGCAATGAAGTGCTAGCTACAGCTAATTTCCCGCAACTGGTTATATTTCGTACCGTATTTTTTTTTGTTATATTTGGTACTGGCATGTATGTGAAAAGTTTCTAGCAAGGCTTAGGAGCCTTAGTTTAGTTAGGTTCTTAGAGATTGAGTTTAGAGTTGAGAAGAGTGTCGAGAAAGTTGGAAAGGAGAAAGAGTCGAGAGAATGAGGGTTTCACTATAGGTTCAAGGGTACAAATATGAGAGAACAAGCAAGAAAGGTGCACCACCAAATAGGAAAACGCTATAACTACAGTAACCAATCCTACAGGCAGTTACATATAGAAAATATTAAATTATATTTTCCGACACGCCCCCATAACTGGATGTAGGAGATGAGTATGCAGTTAGCGCCCTCTGAAGGGGTACATCACGATTGTGCAGGAGGAGAAAAGTGTTTCAATAATACCACTCCCCTGGTTCCCCCACACCTTCACACCTTCCCACCCTCCCCCTCCCCCTACCCTTCCCCCTCCCCCACACACTGCTGCAGGAGCAGCAGAGGGGGGGAGAGAGGAGAGGTGGAGGGACGGCTGCTGGGTGGTCTCACACCCGCCACCCCAGTGCCACTCCCCGGGCTCCCCCACACCCTCACACCCTCCCCCCCAGCGGCAGCTGCAGCAGCGGGAACAAAAGGAGGAGGAGAGGGGGGGGGGGGGGGGGGGGGCGACGCACGTCCTCCCCGGGCGCCAAAGTAGGCGGCAGAGGGGGCGACGCCTGCCCCCCCCTTCCAGGTCGCCCCTCCCGGCACCTGTCGAGGTGACCTGAGGGGGCCGCGTGCGGCCCCCGAAGGAGCCGCGACGGGTGACGGGAAAAGGGGGGGGGGGGGCGGGGCACGTGCCCCCGGTGTGCCGCGGCTGGCGACGGGGCATGGCCGGGGCGGGGTCGGGGCCGCAAGTGGGCGGGGCCTCAGGTGGCATCGGGGCCGAAGTGGGCGACGGGGCCGCAGGTGGCGACGGGGCCGCAGGTGGCGGGGCCGTAGGTGACGACGGGGCTGGGGCCACAAGGAGGCGACAGGGCCGGGGCCGCAGTTAGGTGACGAGGCCGGGGCCGCAGGTGGGCGACTGGGCCAGGGCCGCAGGTGGGCGACTGGGCCGGGGCCGTAGTGAGGCGACGGGGCCGCAGGTAGGGGACGGGGCCGCAGGTAGGCAACAGGGCCGGGGCTGCAGGTAGGGGACGGGGCCGAGGCCGCAGGTAGGCGACGGGGCCGGGGCCGCAGGAAGGCGACGGGGCCGGGGCTGCAGGTAGGCGACGGGGCCGTAGGGCCGCAGGTAGGCGACGGGGCCGTAGGGCCGCAGGTAGGCGACGGGGCCGGGGCCGCAGGAAGGCGACGGGGCCGGGGCCGCAGGTAGGCGACGGGGCCGTAGGGCCGCAGGTAGGCGACGGGGCCGTAGGGCCGCAGGTAGGCGACGGGGCCGTAGGGCCGCAGGTAGGCGACGGGGCCGTAGGTGGCGGGGCCGCAGGTGGCGACGGGGCCGCAGCGGGCGACGGGGCCGCAGGTGGCGACGGGGCCGTGGTGGGCGACGGGGCCGCAGGTGGGCGACGGGGCCGTAGCGGGGCCGTAGCAGGGCCTCAGCGGGGCCGGAGCGGGGCCGTAGCGGGGCCTGACGAAGGGCGGGCGACAACGGGGCCGCTGAAAGGGCGGCGACAGGGCCGCTGAAGGGCGGCGACGGGGCCGCGAAGGGGCCGCGAGGGGCCTGAAAGGGCGGCAACGGGGCCGCTAAGAGAAAGTTTAGGGGCACGCCACGGGGCGTGCCGAACACAGAGTAGCAGCGGAAGCAGTAGGGCGGGTCCACAGGCCATGACCTATCACTCTGATAGCATGTGAAAGGTTTCTAGCAAGGCTTAGGAGCCATAGTTTAGTTAGGTTCTTAGAGATCGAGTTTAGAGTTGAGGAGAGTGTCGAGAAAGTTGGAAAGGAGAAAGAGTCGAGAGAATGAGGGTTTCACTATAGGTTCAAGGGTACAAATATGAGAGAACAAGCAAGAAAGGTGCACCACCAAATAGGAAAATGCTATAACTTTAGTAACCAATCCTACAGACAGTTACATATAGAAAATATTAAATTATATTTTCCGACAATGTAGTGGCAAAGACTTCATGCAGGGCATTAAAGTGTTTTGAAAGGTTCATGTTTGTTTGAAGAGCAACACATGCCGGTGCTGCTTCATCATACCAGTACCATTATTGTTCATGCCAGTTTTAATCAGCCACACCCTACCCATTGTTGGAAACAATCGTTCTTAAGCGCCTCTGTCATGTCGAAACACTAAGGCACAAACAAAGCGAAGCATATCGAAGCACCGGCGAGTCAACCCTCGGAGGTTGAAAGTAACTGTTGGAGGTTACGCGAAAGTCAAAGGTCAGCGACCTTTGACCTGACAAAGTACAGCGCGACAGCAAGGACACACAACTGACTCGCTACAGAGCAGTTGCCCGAGTCGTCACTGTATCGAACCGCAACAGCAACAGTTATAACTGTACCCCTTCATATTCTTTGTACTCTTATATAATCTTGTATCTCTCTGTTTTAATCAACTTACTTTGCCCTCACATACTAGCGCAAGGTGGTTCACAAATCTTCATTAAACGCTTCCGCTATTACATCAGTCCTACCCAGAGTTCACCCCTGCAAAGATCATAAGGGCTTTTCTCAGCCCAACATGGTATAAGAGCGGTGAGGGAGAATTCGACTTCTATTAAGGGTACATTCCGCTGTGGACACATGTCCCAATCGATGTGTCCCAATCGTTTCTACCGCACTGCATCGTATTACACCAAATTGCACCCTAGTTTCGAAATTTTCGCGTCTCTGGTTTAGTTCGGTTCGGAGCGGTACACTCGATTGGGACACATCGATTGGGACATGTGTCCACAGCGGAATGTACCCTAAGATACCGACAGCATCAACATGCATGGCTACACAAAAGGAAAGGAGCTCCTCCAACGGCTCCCAGAGCACTACTCCTACTCCACCTCCTGCCTCTGGCCTACAGACAGAGGAGGGTACGGCAACAAGACCCAGGGCAACATCCACCGAGACTCCTGCGAATCAACCTGCAGACTTCGACCAGAGCATGATGGAGAAATTCTTCTCCTTCATGTCCTTCTACGAGCAACACCAGCAATCGGCACTGTGCGCGGTCACACAATAGCAACAACAACGGAGCAACTCCCATGAGTCTCGACGGCTCATCATACGCACGAGGAAATCAACAGCAGCAGCCTACCTTTGCTCCGTACGAGCGCGGGTCCATCAGCTTTATGCCACACCCGCAGCCTTCACCTGGACAAGAAAAGTGACTGGACGCATTACAAGTTCTGTCGCAGTTCGCGCATGTTCTGAAGATGCAGACGTCAAGACCTTTCGATGGAAAGGATTTCTTCACCTGGTCGTTTGAATTCGAGTTAATGATGGAAGGCGCACATATATTTGGCTTCTTCGACGGGTCCCTGCCATACCCAACAAACGACACACAGTATGAGAAGCAGTAGTACACCTATCAGTCGATGATGGCGTACACAATTCTACTGAGAAACATCACCCCGACCCAACAACAGAATATATAGTCTTACCGGGGTTACGGCAACTCCGCGGAGCTCGCATACAACCACTTGAAGAGCCTGTATCAAGCAACAGACAGCGTAAATCAAAGTTTGTTAATGGCGCAACTGACAACGGTTGAAATGAAACCAGGCGAAAAAGGAATGACGTATATCAGCCGATGTTGCGAGTTGCGCGACAAGCTTCTTTGATGCGGAGGGTCAATTTCTGAAGACGCCTTCGTGACAGTTATCATTGGCGGCCTCGGACCTCAATGGCGCGCCACAAAGACCATTCTCTGAGCCCACGGAAGTGTCAAATTATAATATTGTGTAGGCTATAGTGGGGTAGTCTATATGGGGTACACATTTCTAGGGTTGCATATTTGTATCACTCCCATTCCTTCGTCAATTCATTCTCGTTCTACTTTCCTCATGGTATCGAGCAGGTTCCCCCTTGGGAACTGTGCCTAGGGCCCACCACATCGAGTTTCATTTTTTTTCTCCTGCCCGAAACGCGCTCCGCCCGAGTCGCGCTCCGGGCTCTCACCTCGTCGAGCCGCCCTAGCGGCCCCTTCGCCCTAGCGGCCCCTTCCCCTAGCGGCCCCGCCGCCCGTCGATTCGGCCCCGCCGCCCTTTAGTGCGGCCCCGCTGCCCGTCTCAGCGGCCCCGCCACCTCAGCGGGCCCTGCCCTACTTAGCGGCCCCACCGCCC